ATACCTTTTGGATTAATTCGTTTATTGTTGAGCTTGGATTCCTTATCAAAATAGTCAAAAATAACCATCACTGGCTTTGTCCTTCAACAAACAACCAAGCCAGGAAATCTGCAGTGGTCTCCAGCCTTTAATGTGAGTTAAAACATGAGCCAATGGTCACTTCAGAGTGTCAGTGTTGGATACAAAAAACAGAAGAAAAAAAAGGATTTGTTCTCTCTTGTGACTTGCGTGAGGATGCCAGTCACATCCACAAATCAGGACGTGTAAACATCAATAGCTAGAAAAGCACACTATGCCAGTTTAAAAATCTATAAATAACACATGGCTGCTGGGCAAAAATAAAACCTCTAACCTTCAAAATGTCACGATAAACGGCTGCATTTTAAATTTGACCACTCTGCAGCTCCTATTTTGTGCTCTGGATTTTGTAAAGGTTCCATGAAACCAGAGGTCGCACAATGTACCCAGCATTGTGAGTACACCCCCTTTAATAAACCGATCCACCTTTTATATAATGACATGCATCTGAAAAGAGATCAGTATACCTGTTATTTCTGTGAACCATTCTTCAATTCATTCTAATCATGTGAGAACACCTTGTCCTGCTTTTTCAATCTATCAATACCAATGGAATCCTCTTTATGTGCAGCAAGAAACATAACCCTGTCTCCTTTTTATCAATATGAAGCACTGACTGAAAGTCAATATCTGTGAAAATGAAACACTCTCCACTAAACCATAAAGATTCATAGATCTGATGCCATCAAATGTAAAAATCTTTTAGTGCTTTTTTTTTCATTTTCTATTCTCTGACTGATATTATAATTGACGGAACGGAAATTTCACAGACTCCTGCTGTGTTTCTTCTGTGTTGCCTTAAACATCTGTTCTTATTGATCTTGGCTGTTGAGGTTTCACATATTGAATGTTGAGGGATGCAGAGATTCAAGTGTTTTTATTTGCTCTGGCATGATATTGTGAATATTATGAATTCTGACTGCAGGGTAAACATTAAGAGATCTCATGCCCTTTTCAGACTTAGCTGACTTCACGTCTGTTACAGTAATGGATGTTGTTTTACTCAGAGATTGGTGTTAGTTTTTGTAACTTTTAGTCATCCAAACATCCTCTTTACTTTGTGTACTGAATTTAGCCCTTTGAATTTAAAAGCCCTGGCTTCCCGTTCATTTCATGAAGCTGACAAACCAGTAGGAATTGCTGATGCAGAATATGGCCTGCATTGTCCAATCTAATTTAGATATAAATTAATGACGAGACGGAAAAATTGTTTTGCAATATCTACACTGCAAAAACTCACATTTTAGCAATTGTGCTGGTCTCATTTTTTTTGTCAATATCCATTTATTAACCTTATTATAACCCACATTCACCTAGCAAGTCCAGATTTATATATTTCAAGAAGTAAAAAGCAAAAAACAGGGCCTGGATTGCATGTAATAAGCACAAAATATCACACTCAACAAGATTTACCTACTGATGGAGACAGTGCATGTCATTTTAAAACAAAGTGGGCATTGTTAATGGGTTTAATGGCTGCACAGGGGTGCACTGGTTAGTGCTGTTGCCTCACAGTCCTGGTTCAAATCCCTGTGAGACAGAGCCTTTCTGTGTGGAGTTGTTATGTTCTCCCTGTCCCACTCCAAAGACATGCTCACATGGTGACTCGAAAAGCGTCCATAGGTGTGAATGTGAGTTTGGCTGGTTGTCTGTCTCTATATGTCAGCCCTGTGATTGACTGGCTAACAGTCCCGGGTGTATGTTCATGGATTTTGGAGCCAGCCTCAAGTGGACAGTTAAAGAACTGTAGGTCTTTTCACTTCCACAGGTCTTTGAAGCCTAGTGCTTGAGAAGGTGGGGGGGAGGGGTTTTTCTTTTCTTCATCTTTTTTTCAGCAACGACGACGACAATCTTTTTTTATGTACTGTTCTTACATGAGAAGATTATCCTCAGCGCATAAAACGGGCTAATTTTTATGTGCTTTGTGGTTTATGGGTGATTTTAGCAACCAAGCCGTGCATTTAATTTCTATCTGTGCGTGCATGTTTAACCTTGCACTTGTGAAGCTTTTTCCATTAATATTACAACATTCATTTCCGTCTTGAGTCATATTCGAGGTAGTCAAATTGCTGTCATGACTTTAAAGTTAAAGTGACTCAGACGCTTATTCAGACATGACATGTTGAATTACCATCACATTAATGTCATGAGAGGCATGTCAAGGTTACTTCCTTAGAGTTAACTCATACTGCGAGGCTCGGGTTACCTCAGCAAGCAAGTCCTCCCAAGCTCAGCAGAAAAACCTTTCTAAAGTATATAATACAAAGGAGTCCTTGAAACTGCAGAATATTTGATTTCTCAGAATGCTCACAAGTGGAAGGCGTAAGCCGGAGAGGAAAACAATTTCCATACAACACCAACTGAAAACACTTTACAGTAACTACACCCTGCAAAGTTGATGACGTCTCAAAACTGAAGATTAGGGTGAAAATCACAGCTTACACACCACTGCTTTCCACCCCCTCTCCTTCGCTTTCTTTCGCACTCCCCCTCCTCTGAAGTGTGAACAGACGCTTTGCTGTCTCAGCTTAGCAAACTTTGATCAGTGCAGGGTTGCCAAGCTTCAGTCAGACAAGGTCAGAGGAACGAGATGATGGCCGGCATGTTGTCAAAAGCGGGGAGTTGCCACCTGTTTCAGAATATATTCTGCTTGCTCTCACGTCTTCCAGGACCCCTAATGCCAAAGGGGTGGAGTGGAGTGGAGTCAACAGCCTGCTTTATCGAGGTAGGCTTCATTGAAGTGTCCATTATAAGAGTCCCCAGGTTTCCTTGTCAAACTTGCTGCCTTAGACAATAACCAGTCTTGGGTTGGTATGCAAATCCACCCTCTGCTGTGAGTTATGGAGCTCCCAACAGCCGACAGGATCACTTCTAAGCTGTCCTGGGCATTGGCCTGTGTCAGGGCTGCTGATAAACGGCTGTACAGTTTGTTTTTCTGCGCTGATAGCAAGAAAAGAATCAACAGAAAAGCTGTGCTGCTGTGTAGTCTTTCTCAGACAGTCTTAAACTGAATCCGCTTTGCTTCCCTCCAGGGTGAAATTTGAATGACCTGATCAATTTCTAATCAGGAAAAACCTAGAGCCTTTCTCTTGTCGTAATGGAGCCCCACAAATCTTCCATATGGAAAGCTCCCTCAGAAATGGTGCAGAGCAAAGGGCAGGTAGCAGTTTTTCTGTTCATTTTTCACATATATATTTCTAACTTGTGAGGCAATGATAGCGCCGCTACAATGCAACTCAGCGTTTAGTTAAATATACCAGTGTTTGTGAAATCCTGAACACTGCTGCATATCAGAATAAAAAAATCCAGGCCCTGTTTAAAGGCAGAGGTGGCCTTTTCATGTCGGAAATGGAACCCTGGGAGGTCTGCCTGCTTTGTCGGTCATGAAAGCCAGAGCCTGAAAAAAAATGTATCCTGGGAATTTTGTCACCAGCAAGGTTTCTTGCAAACTGTACAGACGACATAAAGCTTGAACAAGGTATAAACCAGTAGTATGTCTGTTTGTCACATTAATCTCACAGACCTGTCAAATGCAATAAATATTGCACCTGAAATGTTCCAAATGTGTTCATTTTAAATGATTGCTTTTGTTGGCCATGACTGAATTCATTTTGCTACCTTGTTCTCTAAGAAGCCTGATGTTCTTTTAACTAATTCAAACCAAAGATGGTCTGTAAAAAGAGGATGAAGCCACCATGACATAATCATTTTGTGAACCCCTTCCGTTGAAGCATCCAGTTCAGCATCTTTGCTGTTGCCATCTTGGGTTTTTGACACCTTTAGTCAACATATTTTTCTCACCTCCTTCTGGGTTTACGGACCACCCTGGTAGTGACTTTTCAATCACCCTCTGCTATGGTCTAACGTTATTTACAGATGTTTTTTTTTCTCTAAATGAGACCAATACTAACAAAATGAGCATAATGCTGTGTTTAAAAAAATACTTCAAACTAGTCTTTGACGGGCAGATCCTGTGCATGGCCAGGGAACCAGGGCCATCCTGTAAATGTAATGGGCCACTCAGGTGGCTTCCACAAAATACTAAATGATTGGCTTTTTGCAATGTCCATTGCCAATAGATTAAAGTTCTTAAGAGGCCATGATGACTTAAAAATGATTAACAATTGATGAATAAGGTATTAACGGACGTTTTCTCAGCTCTGTCCTTAACTTTTATTATCCTCGACTATATTTATCCAATAGTTTAGGGTCTGTCATTATCCTGTGGCCAATAAATTGAGCTTTTTGTGTTAATGATATATCCATTGACTTCAATTTAGTTTTCCAGACACTTAAATGAAACATTAAACCAGATGTTTGTGTGCAGATTTCAGTTGTATGTTCGCAAGTGGATAAAAAATGGTAAGCTATCAAAAAGAGCAAAACAACCGCAAACTGCTTATGTACAATGTGTGCTTGATGAACATTTGTCGGATCAACAACCCGTTTTGGCATTGTCCCAGGAGTTTGTCAATGAATTGTGAACTTGGACTTTCCTTTTATTTCAGTTAACAAAAGCTGCCTCTGGTTATTGACATTTTCTTGACAGAGGGGTTTGAGGGGGATTGGGTTGTTGTCTTTTTGTCCAATGGAAACTGTATTAATTTGCACAATCAATCAAAGTTGTTTGATTGTCTTTTTAAGAGCTTTGATACTGCAACACGTCCTGTGTAATTTGGCAGAGAAAACATAGCCATAAACAAAACACTGTCAATGAAAGACTGTCACAGAAAAAAAGTGGTGTGATATTACAGAGACATTGACAGTTTTATTAAAGACTGTCAGTGCTTCATGAAATACTGAGCAGTGTACAATTTACCTCCTTTGTGCCTTTAAAGGTATTTATTATGCCAGGCTTGTAGGCTGTTTTTCCCCACATTTTGTCCATGAGTCACAAAAATGTCCTTTTATTTGCCTTCCAGGTGGATCATTAAACAATGTCTGGCGGATCAGTAACTGACCTCTCAGTGTCAACATCTGAGTAGTTAGTTACACTGACTGAATCTGATTCACCGGGAGCCATCAAACTGACGGATTAACTTTTTGGATTTGCCTTTTATTTAGTTTCAAAGAATCGGAAAAGTAAAAATGCCAATGGATTGTTCTGATTAACATTCATGCACCCAATCCTGTGTTGTATGAAGAGAACAGCAGGGTATGCTCATTGGACAGCAGTGGCTATATTTGAGCTCCTTGCACTATGTGGTCAACAGGGTGGCTTTATCCTCACACCTTCAGGACTCTAGAATTATCATGATGCTATTTTTGTCTGCTGCTCTTGCAAAATTCCTAGCCAGCGGAATCTGACTGTGACAACATGTCCGTACCAAAGCGAAGAAAAATGAGGACTTTGGCTCTGCTATTTTGTGTCATTACATTCACAATGTTCTTCTTCAGTTACACCTTTCGGGACCCCTCTTTCTACTTCTTCAAGTACGCTTTTCGCCTCTCAGACAACTTTTTCTCCAAAGGGCTATGCGCCTGTAGACAGTGCATGACAGAGCTGGAGGACGACCCTTGGTTTGCTGAGCACTTCAATCAGTCCATCCACCCTCTGATGACCAGGGAGAACAGCATTCTTTCCGATGAAACCTTTAAATGGTGGCAGGTAAGATTCAGTGAATGCTTAAAGGGGATTTGAGACGTTATCCCACAGAAGATTGAAAAACAAAAAAAAACATGCACATTCAGCTACTGAGGGCAGATGAGGTGGCGGTAAAAGAAAGATCATGAATAAAGAACAGAGAGTTGCAGACCGCTTTAATGCTCCCAAGAAGTATTTGTTTTTGCCATATTGATTGTTTCAAATCCGAGGGATCTTCGGCAGGATCAAGTTGTGAAGCAAACTCCCACGCACAATTTGTTCATATTAAAAAGTGAGGTGGTGGATATCTATCATCATCTTTCCCACGTATATTTAGAAGAAAAGAGATTTGTGCCACAACACCATTAATACATAGGTGATAACATAACCATTCACTTTAAGCATTTAGCGTTTGCCCTGCAGAAATACATTTCTCTTTAAGCATCTTTTTTTTGATCATGTGTCTCAAAAGCAAATAAGCTGAAACATTTTGCAAACATGCCACTCTTGTCCATGACTATGTGCTTAAAATATTCCCTATACTGTACCACAGTGAAGACAGAAATCTGGCCATCAAGCTCTCTAAATTATGTTCAAAAATAAACAACACTATACGTTTAATTGGTCTGCCCTCCTCTCCACCTGCCTGCCTCGCCAACATTACATTTCTCCAGCTGCCAATAAAAATAATAAACTTTATTTTTACAGCACTTTTCAAAGCAGGCTTATAAAGCGCTTCACGAAATGAGATGACAAAGCATGAGCATGTAACCATTTCTTTTGGGTATGACAAGAGTTTCATATTCTATTTGACTATTTGTTCTTTTCTTTTGTTACATCATAGCAATGATATAACACAACTCTACTCAGGACACATTATAAGGTGTGGGACATAACCTTTTGTAAGAAACACTTCCAAAGCATGTGCTGAGAAGATCTAACCTGAATATGTTTAATTTGGATTCATAGTGGCAGACGGTAATGGTGTGATGAGGACACAGTGTGTTGAATTAAGTGAAATTCATTGCACCAGAGATACTTCAATGCATGTGGGATCTGTTGGGAAGTCAAAGAAGATTTCCAAGGGCAAAGGAACAGATTTTGATAGAACAGAAACAATTCTTTTTTTTTTCACAATCAGAAGTGGGCCTTAAAACCCCTGGTTTGTTTTATACAAGACTTACACTGGTGTCAATGTCAAGTTAAAGGTATATCATGCGCTTCAGCCACTCCACAAATGGAGGTCAGTGCTCTCAGAGAAGGACCTGAGACATTCAAAACATAATTCAGTGGACTCCTTCTCTCAGACAGGATCCGAAGAAAGTACTGAAGCACACCAACCACTTAAGGCAAATTACTTAAAGGAAGAATATATGATTTCTCATAGTTAAATGTAATAGAAATGAAGTGTATCCTCCGAAAATAACTCTGTGAGTCATGACTGTCTAGTCCCACTGTCTGTGATGTTTTCAGAGTTTTCAGAGTCCTATCTTCAGTTTGTTTACAAGCCGGCCGACTCATCCCCTCGCGTATAAAAGTTGTTTAATTGAGGGACTAGAGAAAAGAAGAATAACATACTGTACTCACTGCTTAATTGAATGTTATCATTTTTAGATTTAGTGTAAATTTACATGCAGTGTGAAGATACGAGCAAAATAAAGAGCACTAGCATTAGCATGCTAACACAACAATGCAGCGCGAGTTGTTTTGGTTTCATGCTGGTGCTCAAGGGCGACACCTGCTGGATCAAAAAGTCGTATATTCTTCCTTTAAGTGCAAAGGACTAAGTCAAAGAAAAAAAAACCCTGTTGATGTCATCAGGGTTACATCACGTAAGGGTTGAAATCATTTCTAACTGTGTAAACCATCTGGGGATGTGGAGTTTGAAAATAAACATTTGTTTTAACCAGTCATTTAACTGACAAAACATGCTATTGTGATGCATTAGGGGAAGTGTAGGATCACGTTTATGTGGCGCTTGAAGCATGCAAGGGGCATGAAATTAGGATTTCATTATATCTAAATTCAAAAACTTTGACCATTCTTTTTAAAGGGGTCTTCCTTAGTAAGAGAAAATATGTAAATGTATTTGCAGCTTTCTTTGCATGTCACTGACGACACAAAAATGTGTATTTGACGGATATCCAGTTCCAGACTGTTTATTATTCCTTTTTTTTTTTTTTTACTTGTTGCTTCTCTCTGACATTGCAGACAATGTCAGGATTGTTATCTCCGCCTCTTCCAGGATGGGTTTTGTCACTTTCTTGATTGCTGAGTGTCAGTGTTAAATGGCTGCTCGGGGGAAAAACCATACGAGTCAGAGTGATTGACAGGAAGACCTTCTGTTCACTGTTAGTGTTAGTGAAACATTTCCTCACATCAAACTCCATTTCAGCTCCACTCAGAGTATCTTAATTGTTGAAATTCCAGGTACATTTGGCCAGTCGTGCACATAAAAATGAATCCAGAATTATATGATAGAATAGCTGTAAAGTGTTTTATGGAGGATGTCTTGTTTAATTCCATTTTCTTGTAAATTAGAATTCACATCAGCTCTATAACTAATTACCTACCAGCCCTAATTTAATCCCGTCCAAACAATATATATTGTGCTTGCTGTGAATCCCATTATTGGGGTTCAGCTGTCTAAATTAGAAAAGCCTATTCACAAAATGTATGTCACATAATTATCCTACCTTTTTTCTGGAAGGCATCCGCTGCCTTAGGTAGTTCAGCATTCACCTCACACCTTGTCCAATTAGAGGCAAGAATAGAAAAATTACTGCAAGGTTGCCTCCTGTCACTTCTGGTTTTGGAAAGTTCTTCTCACAGGGAGTCTGATGAGGCAAGTGTCACATATCAACAACGTTAGCTCGACCAGATGGTTCATGCGGCACTCCTGCGAGGCAAGGGTGTGTGACCTTTCAGGTGTACCCAGGCTGCTTGTTTCATGTCAAAGCATACATGTTGCACGGCTAAGTGTAATTTCTGTAATAAAACAGAATAGGCATCCACCATGTCATTTGTAATCAATGTTTATGGTCTAAGCTAAAGCAGTTTTTACACTTTTTAAACTGCATTTTTATAAATATTATAATATTGCCCATATTCAATGGTAAATAAATAACGTTAAAAATTTTTAAGACATTTCCCAGAGTTCAGTTTGCTCAATTTCAAAGCCTTCAAAACAATATTTTGACTATGAGTCACTAAAACTCTGCAATAAATTGTGCCACAGCACAATATGTAACAGTATATACTGCACACACATCCCTATATTTATTCTCTGTCTCTCCGAGTTAAAAGCCCCCAGAAGAAGGCCGAGGCAAAGGAGCCCCCGCAGACGGAGCTAAGCCGCCCCTGAGGTTATTTCAGAAATGTGTTTGGTGTCTCGAGCTCCGCTGCCCTTGTTCAATCACTTCTACTTAAAGTGGCCCTGGAGCCACCACTCTCTCTGAGGCGTCTCTCTGCTGTGTCACCAACAGTGGTTGCAGTCAGAGAGGCAGCCGGCCAACTTCAGTGGAGTGGTGGAGGAGCTGTTCCAAGTCATCCCTGATGATGTGCTCTACATGGACGCCAGCCCTGAGCGCTGCAGGACCTGTGCCGTGGTTGGGAACTCTGGGAACCTAAAGGGCTCCCTGTACGGCGGCCTCATCGACTCCAGTGACTTCATCATAAGGTCAGCTGGCATTTCAATCTGTGTGGGGATCATGAGGGTATCACCAACACACACACACACACTTGCCTTTTATAATTAGACATACTTACTTTTATAGTAAACAGTTTACCACGTCTGCCTTAACTGTTTTAGGTTTGTTTGAAGGATCTTTGCCATTTCTGAAAATTAGCGTCTTATTATTTAAGTAAAATCACAACTACCGAGGGGAAGAAATATCCATCCAAACAACTTTGAGTGAAGGTAAAACTTAGTTAAATGTCCAGGCCCCTCTCATATCATCTTATTCTTATTTAACCTTTTGCATTTCATACAGAGGGACCATTCTGTGTCTGTTTTCTTCCTTTCCAGCACTTCATTAAAATTGAATGTGATGCTATATCACTCACCCCATGCACAGAGGCTATAGACCTCAAAGCAGGTGGCCCAGGTTTGAAATGTGAAGTCAAATAGATCGTTTTTTAAATCAAGACATGCAAAAGTAGTTTATTTGCATTTCTACAATCTGTCTTGCAACAATGATGTCATTGGTCAAAGTCAGTTGCCTGTGGGCTGAATGAATTCAAATTGTGAGCAGATCAATGGAGTGTGCAAAAGATACCATTGAGCACAATGGGAATATGTTTTTTTTTTATATAGTTATTTTGTCATAATTATACTACTTACCTAGAATGCCTGTTATTGCCAGATATCATTTTTGACTGTGAGTACAATCAAACTTCAGATAGGTTTTATGGTGAAATCTATTTTTTAAAAAGGGACCTGATTAGTAGTAAACTGTACATGCAACTAATGCTTTTTTCACATGTTAGATGTAAAGGAAAGAATGCCGTTCACAGACAGCCTAATGTAATATCTTCAGAGGGCTTCTTGCATAAACACTTGGATACTTTCCTTCTACTTCCTCAAGGGTCTCATCCGTTTTCAAACAAGTATTTATTCAAATCATAATCAATTCATCATTACAAACACTGGATGAAAAGGGTTTAGTTTTGCTTACCTTGAAGAGGCCCCGGTTTCTCTCTCACAGTGCCCCAGCCTGCTCTCAGCTCAGAGATGCTGTCGGAGATTTCAATTCACACACCCTTGTTCTTTATTCCCCAAACATTATCTTGACAAAACAGCAATAGAAGACAATAAAGTTTGATTATTCAGATGTTCTTTTTCCTGCGCCTTAGGGCAGCTGGGAACAAGAGGTGAGTTTGTCGCTCTCTGTAGCAACAATTGCAGCTTTAAAGTGATTTAATTGGTAAATATTAAAAACACAAGGGCTCTGTGGTGTGCTTTCTTCTTTAAACTGTTGGCTTAATGATAAAATCAAGCTCTTTTTTTAATTTTTTTTTTGCAAAGGGTGAACAAACACTCTGGCTCAGACTTCAGTTCAATGTTCATGCAATATCTCCAGGCTGGACAAAGCACACATTAAAGCCTTTTCTGTATTTCCTTTATTTAGGTTTTGTCAAGGCTGCAAGGGTCAAATGTGCAATTTCCTAGTACAGTGGTATTCCGATTTTCTCCGAATATTACATAAGAACTTTGCACAATGTCGCAATCTTCAATCGCAATTTGTATTACAAATATGCTATAAGAAATAAAGATTCAATCAGTAGCGTAAGACTGTTTCTGCACAGATGGGATGACGTATAGCATTCTAGAAGATACTTATCGCCATGGCAGAAAAAAACAACTCATTTTTAAATTGAATGTTCCAACCAATGGCAGTGATAGGATATCAGATCAGAAAAACCAATGCCTTTCAAATACCCAGAATGCAATCTGCCCAGATCCTCTAAAGCCCCCTTTATAGACTATTATGAATATTGAGCAGAATAGGCCTGGCGGCTAAAGCCCCTTGTTTGCTCAGCAGATTGAAGTGGTGAAATAGATTTGAGTCTTAAAAAGAGCCTTTGCTTTTGCCTTTGACAGACAAAAAAAAGAGCTCTGTGGCTTTGGAATAATTATATTTTTAAACATGTTAAGACGTCGTAGTTATTCAGATTACATTGAATGTCTTCTGAAACATAACAACTAGTAAGCAGATGGATATCTTGTTAGAGCACCTTTTTTTCTGATCCTTTATCTTGGGGGAACTTAGAAGAACAAACCATACTCATTTTCAGGTTCAGTTTGTATGTGATTGCAGATTTTTTTTAAAAAGTACATCTAAGACACAAAGTCAATGCTTTTATCAAGCTAAAGTGAAAATGCAGCTAACTTGATGGAGACACAGATAATCTCACTTCATCTCCCAGGCAACTCAGACCCATAGTGGTGATAAGGAGGACAAATCTGAACCACTCATCAGACAACAGTGGCCTTTAGGACTAACATAAATTATTCACCACGATGGAATAACAAAAAAGAGAATGTGAACAAATGTGCTGTTGTGTACCCTTAATACTTGTACTCGACAAATGTAGCATTTATGGAGTCTTATTTGAAGATTTGTCAGTCCTTGCTTTGTCATGGCCCAATCACTACTCTCAGCCTTTACTACCAGCAGTAAATACAACATAGATTACGAATTAAAATAATTGCTGACCTTGTTTTCCTTGCTAGCAGCTGTTGTGCAGTTACATTCTTCATGTTTTGATGTCAGTACCGCCTGCATAGACAAAAGGCGACATTGTCAGTCCTACATGGGGCGTTGGTTGTGGGTGAGGCAGTAAAGAACCATCATTTTCGACATCCCGTATAATAGGCACATCTGTTTATTCCATAGTGAGCCATAAAATGAAACTTCAGACACTTAAAAAATGTGTCATTATTTTGCCTCATCATTAACTGTCTGTGTCTGTGTACGTGTAAGTTTTGCCCTGATAAAACGCAGAGTGTTGGCTGGTGGGATTGTTGAAAGAAAACTCTGCACATGCCGTGGGCACAACTTTTTTCTTTTCAATTATAGAAATTGAAAGTGGCACTGGGGCGTAGCTTGAAGAGCAGAGTGCATAAAATACAACCCAGCATTCAGGCAAAACCTAATCCTGAAGGTTCATCAATATCTTAATAAAGACGCTTTGAGCAGCTGTTGTAAAAACACATGTAAAAAAAAAAAAAAAGGTAATATTGTAATACTGTAATATTGAGACTGTGAAATTGAGTTATAAAACTGTTTAGCCTATAACTAATAGATTCTGTTGATCTATGATAGCAACTTAGCTGGTAAGGGTGAAAGGTCCAATCAGTAAGATGTGCAGTGAGTGAAATGATAAAGTGACCTCACTATATGATCAGACATTAAGGAAACATGTTATGTTGAAGTGCTGGCTTCTCTGACAACAATGCAGCAGCCAGTATGTCCTCCTTCTAACTTTAGATTTCGGTGTGGAATGGTTTTGACCAGAGAAGGTAGACAATTTTGAGGCCCCTCAGTTTTCCAGACAATCAGCAAACCATCAGGTGTTGCAGCGATGGAAGCGGGAAAGCTAATTCTAATCGACCTTAAAAGCCTCTGCATTTTTCTACTAAGCTCCACGACCACACACGTAGTAAAACTAGGATAAATATTGACGATGCTTTTGAAAAATGGAGAAATGTTAGAATGTAGACCTGGCTAAATACTGACGCTTCAGTGTCCGTGACATGTCAACCTGTGTGAGCATGGACTTGAGGGACGAGAGGACGGGGGGAGACAGCCCCACAATGTTTTGAATTTGGCCTGCAGTACCCATTTTAATTGCTAAGTTTTATACATTAGTTTTATACATTAGAATAAATCTTGATGTTTATAAGCAAAAATAAAGAGATTTATCTGGCTTCATTTCATACAAACCACAACAAACATGTTTTTGTACCAGTGTAACACAGAAGTATTACTTACATACTGCATTTCTCAGTGATTGTGAAACGAGATGTAAACATTGCTTCTTCTGGTCTGCGAGTCATAAATTGCTTTTTTGTGAATCTCAATAACAGCGGGGACAGGGCGTAGAATAACTGTATAGATATGGTATCTTCTGACTGAATCTGGTTTCTTTTGAATGTTTTAGGGAGGCATTTGTATTCAATTGAGACAGTTTTTTTTACCAATTAAAACACCTCAGAGTATGTTAAATCTCTCTGGGAATATTCCCAATTTTGTTTGGAATAGAAAGTGTGGATACCTAAGAGTGGGCTAAGACACTCACAAGGCTGTTCTATTTCTGGGGTAAAATGAGGACACTGTTGAGATTGTTGGAAAATAAGGTCATGATGATACAGCTGACATGCAGATCTTGCCCGCAGTATAACCAGACCAGCGCTACAATAACCAAAAGGCAATTTAATGCAGTATTGTTGCATCCCTTTATTTTATCACTGCATGGCTTTGTCAACCTGCTGTGACATGTTGCCTCAGTAAAAAGCCACATTACTGCACTTATCTTCTTTGACAGCCCCCCGCTGTGACAGCAGCATGCCATTGTCTAACAATTGAATTATCCATTGGCAGGGACAGCAACAAGACAAGAGTTATTACTTTGATATTAGCTGAGTAGTTTGGGGCAGGAGCATGCTACTGTTTGAGACTGTGCAGGTTTAGTTTTTTTCATATGCCCCTTCATCATTATTTAATATATTTTCAAGACTCATTATTTCAACTCCACATTTCATCCGCTCCTCCTTAAGCTTTTCTCTGTGAGTTTTATTTTTCTGGCAATGCAAAATGACACGTTCTACCGTTTCTTGATGTTGTCCACAATCACACAAACTTGACTTGTGTTTACCTATTAAGTGTATTGTTTTATTTAACCCTGCATGTCCTAGTCTTAGTCTCATCATTCACGCCAAATCTTTTGCCAGACCGACATGATTTTGCTTCGGACTACTGCTTTAGCCTCAGCTTTGCTAAAAGTTACCTCCATGGTTGAATTTCTCCTTATAAGCTTGGTGCTTCCGAATTGCAAAGTGCCCACACAATCTGACAGTAGACAGTCCCTTCTGTTCAGTAGGTGCACACAGTAGGCCGATATTTGCTCCTACTTTGTCTGATAGTTCAGTGTAGAAGTGGCGTCATTAGCCCGCCT